GAGGAGGGCTGCTTGGGCCGCAAGTATTGTCGAGACATCGTGTGAATAGCACATGCTACTGGCGCTGTAGGCGGGCAGAGGGATGGAACAACGGATGAACGTACCAGCGCAATCCGAAGTGGGTAATTTAGTCCACCAAAGAAATTGGCAATAAATATCGTCGCGACCCAGTACACCATGTTGGCCAGTCCTACGACTCCGTCATGACGGTGAAGGATACAGTGTTGTCAAGTCGTGAGGTGGGTTTCTGTGTATTTGCGAGCTATCACAGCTTTCACCATCGCTGTTGTTCAAGATGAACGGCCCGACAGCACGAAGACGATGGAAGCGCTTGCTTGAAATTGCTGGGTCAACGAGGGCAGACTGATTTTCGCTTCAACACTTTATCATACCCACCTTTGGAATGTCAAATACATACGATGTCACAACCGATGTACCAGCGTGTAAAGCAATTGTCTCTCATTAAGGAAATCTATCGTAATCCAGATTGCCTGTGCCAAGGCAGCCAGCAAACTCCGAGATCAGTCTCTATGTGTGGAGAAAGTTGACTCAGGACAGGAACCCGAACTCATTGAAGATGTCAGCTGAGCTCCTCCACAAAGCATAACCGCCAATGTCCAGGCTACGATTACGAACCACCGTATCACAAAATTGTGAATTCCATCGACCCATCTGTACTGACCAGTGACTGGGCAGACAGATGCTTGTGCCCGCCCGGTGTCGTATGCCCAAGTCTCAACCGTGAACTTTCCGACCATAAATAATAGAATACAGGGACCATGACGACATGTGGTGAGCTTTGTCAGAGCTGCACTCAATCGTACAGACCCTCATCCTCTGCAGCATTGCCGAAACCACCAGCAGCATCATTGGCTGCGGACTCGCCCTCGGGGAACTTGAAATAAGCACCAGGACCAGCATTCTTCATCTGCTGAGCAAATGCTTCATATCGGCGGATCTCAACATCGGTCACTGAACGACGGGCCATCTGCATAGCCTCCTCAAAGTGGCGCTTGGTCAGTTCAGGAACTGGGTCCTCGGCATCATCCTCCATCTCCACATCCTCGCCAGCAGCCTCACGGGTCTTGGAGCGCTCAATGTCAAGAGCGATGGACTCCTTGATGGCAATCTTGACTGCACGCTGAGTAATGAAACCCAAGTCGGCACCGGAGAAGCCGTGAGTCTTGGCGGCGATGAAAGACAGGTCGATGTCGCCAGCTACAGGGGTCTTGCGGAGCTGGGCAGACAGAATACCGAGACGGCCGGCCTCATCAGGTAGAGGCACGTAGATGAGGGAGTCGAGCCGACCAGGACGGCAAAGAGCCGGGTCAAGCTGCTCAGGGCGATTCGTAGCACCAATAACAAAGACATTCTTCTTGGAAGTCATGCCGTCCATCTCGGTCAGAAGCTGATTGACGACACGGTCTGACGCACCACCAGCGTCGCCCACGGAGCCTCCACGAGCCTTTGCAATAGAGTCCAACTCGTCCAGGAAGACAATGCAAGGTGCAGCAGCACGAGCCTTGTCGAAAATGTCTCGAATGTTGCTTTCAGACTCACCGAACCACATGCTCAGTAGCTCAGGACCCTTGACGGAGATGAAGTTGGCTGAGCACTCGTTGGCAACGGCCTTGGCCAACATAGTCTTACCCGTACCGGGAGGACCATAGAACAGAACACCTCGAGAGGGGGACATGCCAAACTTAAGGAATTTCTCAGGGTGATCGACAGGGTACTGCACCTGCTCCTTGAGTTCCTGTTTGACGCCGTCAAGACCACCGATATCTTCCCAGCGAACGTTGGGCACCTCGACAACGGCAACCTCACGGAGGGCGGACGGGTTGGAAACACCCAATGCAAAGCGGAAGTTGTCCATGGTGACGCCAAGCGAGTCGAGAACCTCAGCATCAATGGTGTCCTCATCCAGATCGATCAAGTCCATCTTCTCACGAATTTGCTGCATGGCGGCCTCTGAGCAGAGGGCGGCAACATCGGAACCGACGTAACCGTGGGTCTCGGCAGCAATTTGCTCCAGGTCAACGTCATCACCAAGCTTCATGTTCTTGGTGTGAATCTGCAAAATCTCGAGACGGCCAGTAGGGTCGGGGATACCAATGTCGACCTCACGATCGAAGCGACCGAAACGGCGCAGGGCGGGGTCGATGGAGTTAGGACGATTGGTGGCAGCCATGACAACCACATTGGCGCGAGCCTTCATACCATCCATGAGAGTCAGAAGCTGGGACACAACACGACGCTCGACCTCGCCGTTAGTCTTATCACGCTTGGGGGCGATAGAATCGATCTCGTCGATGAAGATGATAGCTGGTGAGTTCTTCTCGGCCTCTTCGAAAGCTTTTCGCAGGTTGGACTCGGATTCACCGGCCATCTTGGACATGATCTCGGGACCGTTGATCAGAAAGAAGAAAGCACCGGTCTCGTTGGCAACAGCTCGGGCCATAAGTGTTTTACCGGTACCCGGGGGACCAAAGAGCAGCACACCACGCGGCGGCTTGATACCGATGGATTTGAAGAGCTGGGGGTGACGCAGGGGCAGCTCAACCATCTCACGGATCTGAGCCATTTGCTTTCTGCATCCGCCGATGTCATCGTAACCAACCTCGTTGAGGTTGTTCTCCTCCTCGTCACGCTGGATAGGCTCGCCCTCGCAGTGGATGACCGTGTCCTGTGCGACAATACCGTACTCGGGTGGGTCAACCTCAACAACCTTGAACTCAACTTGCCTCATACCACCGCGAGCGATGAACAGATCGCCTTGGCGAACCGGGCGGTATGCCTCTCGGAAATAGGGAGCGAGGAAAACGTCGAACAAAGAGCCAGTGAGGCCTTCAACAGTGTCGGCAATAGGCAGGACAGCAATGCGCTTGGCCTTGGAGGGGGTCAGCAATCGCGTGGATGGTTGATAGACGGAAGGTTGAGGCTCACATATTTGATGTCAGGGCAGGGGTGAATAGTGACGATATCGCCATGCTTTACACGCAGGTTGTGGCGCACAACACGATTCAGGCGGCAGCTGCCGTCATCGAGGTCATCGTCACCGAGCACGACGAGAACGGTATCCTTTCTCTTCTTGCCGCGAATAAGAACAGTATCACCGCGGAAAAGCTGTAGGGCGTCCATGGTGTTATTGGACAGAGCGATAATTGAGTTATCATCGTTGACGGCATCGGTGACCCTGTGGCGTTTGTCAGCTTGGGCTTGCAATCCGATAAAATTTATCGATGAACATACATCAGCTGGTTAGGCTTCTTCTTCTTCTTGAGGATGGCAGTTGCGGTGTCATCCTCCTCCTTGTGCTCCTTGCCAGAAGCGTCCCTGTGGGATAGTTAGCGTATGCTCCATTTGGTCCGTTTGGTCCGGGCGTCGGGGATCAAGTAGAGATGGCGGGGTTTCTGCAACATACATCAGATGGCCCTTCTTCTTCTGGTCGGCGTTATCGGGAGTGGGTTCAGGCGCCATCTTGACTGACTTGCTTCGCGCGAAGATGGGAGTCTGGGGAGGTAATCGTCAGGTTGATGCTGCGGAACCGAAACCGCAGATGTGGATGAGCTGTCCGGTCGGTTGGGGTCGAAGGCGTTGCAATCGGACGGTGGATGACGATGCCGATGCTCGCACGAATGTAGAATGATCAAGGTCAACAGCCTTGAAGGTTGATTGACTGCGGAAAGGGAAAGGGGAAATTGGTGGTTTTGGATGAAAAAGAGAAGTAGAAACTTGCTTCGACTCTTGAGATGTAGGTGGCGGCGTTTGGAGAAGGTAGCTATGGGAAAGCCGACCCAGGCGCTCTCCAGGCAACGCAATGACGACTTGGAAGGCAGGAGTGGGTCAGACGGCTTACGTGATCAGCGACCACCTGGCACGACCGGGTCCAAGCTTCTTCTAGCCTCTCCAAAGCAAAACCACTCAACTTAGGTTAGGTACTCCTAACGCCCTTAGAAGCTTCGAGATTCTTGTTTCGTAATCAAGGGGACAAGTAGAGACGCGGTCACTCTTTTTTGTCTTTTTTTTTTTGCCTCTATGGCAAATGGGCATCGAATTTGAAAAGGTTCTCCTGCAACACAATGCTGCGTATTGAAATATCGCCACGCAAGGAATCAGCCGAGTCAGGTTGATATATATTATATGCTTCCACAGGATGCTCTTCCGTTGTCAACACAGAATTAACTAATCAGGGGAGAATGGCGGTCGTCTGCGTTGTTGACGCGGAGCCACAGGGTTTACGCCTTTTCCCTGCCAGAGGACGCTGTCAAGGGCACTATGGCCATTGAGTGTGACGGGCTGTCTTGTGGCTTCATTGACGTGAGTATACGTAAGGTATGGAGGTCCTGTAAAGGATTTTGTGGTAGCCTCTCAACAACGTGAAATGGCCACACGAGACAGGCAGCAGAGAAAGCATCGCGTATACTGAGCTTTTGAAAGGAAATGTCACTCAAGTGTCTCCACTTGACTGATCATCCCAAAAATGAACAATCATGTAATAAATCGGTTTTCCAGAGGCTGTTCTAGAGACTAGTACCAGTATCTCAGTACCGCGCCCAGAAGTAGTACGACCTGTCGACGATGATAAGTGCAAGACAAATCTTGATTTGTGCCCTTTGTCCATCTTCATTGCCCTGCCAAACATCCTTCCTCCATGGTTTCTAGTATCGGTCTCTGCCTATATTCGAAGCTTCAGCCGATCACAGACAAATTGCCTTGAATCTGGTGCCTAGGTTTGGCACCGATAGCATTCCTAACTACGATCGATCAGAGACGGCTCCTAAGAGACGCAGATCCACAGTACTGAAGAGAAGCCTACACATAGTGTCATAATCGCACCAGTCCCACTGCCCGTTCAACATTGTGTAATCTTGGGCTGGCCATAAGGCGGGAAACTGGAGATGAGTTTCGTGAGGCTCAATAAATAAGAAGTTTGAAAAAGAAAAAAAACCGCTTGCACGATGCTTCACAACGACAGTAAATACTTCAGAACAGCAAAATGACTTCGGGGAGTTTCGAACTCCCGACCTTGACGGATCTTGATGTGAACATCCAGATTGTAATCCACATGAATGTGAACGTCACGTGATAACCACTACACCACGAAGCCTTTCTAGCAAGTTTTCCCAAAGCTATTATATTCACAAAACCGCGGCTAATTCGCAGAAGCGCAAGTTGAGTTGAATAGATTGCTACTACAGGAGGCGCTCGCGCGCCCAAGCACACATCCAGTAAGCCCTGAGGTAGTCAATAATGTCCCTGAGGGGTTGAATTCTCATCAAATGATGTTGAATGAATCATCCATAAAATTGAAGGCATCAATTTCATGGGGAATGATTTTTTGATGTGTAAGTATTTCTTTGGGCATCATGCTTGTATAACGAACTTGAAGGGATAAGTCGCTCTGTATCGACCTCTTGTGAACAATCGTCTGTGGCATAATCACCGGTATTTTGTTCCTCTTAGGGCGATAACACGTGGGACGACTTCTTACTCGTTTCACTTGGCCGGTACCCATTTCACGAAGGTTGTCCTGTGAGTCCAGGTTGTCTACCTAGGCGGATCCCGAAGCTTGGGCGGTTCGACTGCGGTGATCTGTTAAGAATATTACTCATTTATAGCTCTGTTAGGGACTTTTCAAAATCCCGACAAGTGAACCAGCAACACAAAAGTGAAGGTTTGGCAGGCCATTTTACCCCGAGCAGGCAAGGCATTTTCAATCTTCGTTCTACGGCTAGATTTGAATGTCTATTTCAATATGTATATGGGAATGTGCACGCAGGCCACCATTGCAAGAGACCTGTCGTAGAGTATCAATACCATCATGCGCCAGGCAGGTAACTTAGAAGCCGCCCTCCTCTGGTAGCAATGTCCCATCACAGCTTGGAGACTTGCCCAGGGGCCAACAACTCGACGTCCTGATAGGGCAGTCCCAGGAACTTATATACATAACCAAATCTGTAATAACGTCAGCATCCCTTCTCTCTTATATTCGACATCTTATGGACACAAACCTATCGCTTCCAAAGAATGGCTCACCCTTCCCCTCGCCATTCGTGGCCCACAACCACGGCGCGCCGAACGCGCCTCTCTCGAGCGCCTCCTGCGTCGCGCCCGTGAGCATATCCTTGACCTCCTGCGTTTGTGCAGCAGCCAAGATCGCCTCACACTCTTTGGGAGAGAACTTCCCACTATCCGCGATGACCTTGGCCAACACGTCGACTTGGGTGAGGTTCAAGTTGGGAGGCATCCAAAAGGCATGGAAGTAATGCTCCAGCACGGCGTGATAGATCTCACGCGAATACGTACGCTTGATGTAGTGGAGTGTCCGCAGGGGAAGAATGGTGTGGGCCCGGGGCATGAAGTCCTTTGGCGGGCGTATGTCGGGACGGCCGAAGTAGGCTGTTGCCCGGGGACCTTCGAATTCGCTGCCATAGACGGCCTTAGCAGGTACGGACCATGGTGGTTTGTTGCCTGTTGCAGTCTCAGTGCGTGCATTTGTCGTAATTGTCCGCGAGAATGAATGATACTTACCGGTCTTGGCATTGACTGCGCCTAGGAGGATGGGGTGGAATCTGAGGGTTTGTGTAAGCAAGCGCATTCGATGTGAGAAGCAGGGCTCTGTTTACTCGACATGAACGCCATGGGACTCAATCTTTTCCAGGGTTTTGATGAGGTAGGCAAAAGCGAGGTAGCTGTATAGAGACGCTAAGCTTCAGGTAAGCCTTTGTCCAGTCAAGGCGGTGACGGACGTATGACACAAGGACTCACCAATGTCAAAATAGCAGTCAATTCGGCCACCCATGTTGACTCTATTGACAATATATCAGCGACTTGGTGAATGAAGAAGTCGCAAGATGCCAGTGATATTGGTCATGGTGAGATGGAACTTAGGTAGGTCGGCGGTTGTGCCTCGGCCCACCACGTCTCCAAATCAGAGCTGACTTCCTCTTCCGGATCAGTAATCCGAATTACATATCTTGAACAACAAATATCTCTTAGATTTGGCCGAACAAGCATTGTTTTAATATATAAGTTCCATATTCCATCTCTGGATTTGATCATGTCCGCCCAGGACCCGTCTTGACCGCCATCATCAGTATGTCACCAGCTAAGCCCGTAGCCCTCGTCATAGGAGCCTCCAGAGGCATAGGAAGACAAGTAGCCATTGACCTGGCCAAGAATGGCTACTTCGGTAAGATCGTCATCACTGTACCTAAGCAGAGGTTTCATTTGTAGACTGAGATATTCCTATAGTCGTCGTAGCCGCCAAATCTATTAGTGACGCCTACGACTCAAACACGCGTTTCCCACCCGATCCCAACTCCCCTGCCTCCACCATCAGCACCGTCGAGCGCGAGATCAAGGAAAGCGGCGGCGAAGGGCTAGCCATCGCCGTGGATGTCCGAGATTTCACCAGTATTCAGAACCTTGTCCGGAGGACTGTCGAGGTCCGCCACGAGTCCGCCCTTGTTCATTTGCGTGTATGTCTACCCAATTCACACTAACTGCCTGCAGCAACATGGCACCCTCGACGTACTCGTTTACAATCCTGGAGCAATCTGGTGGGCGGCCGTCGAGGACACGCCCATGAAACGTTTCCAGCTCATGCAACGCGTCAACATCGAGGGACTCTATGGCGCTGTACAAGCCTGCCTACCTCACCTAACGAAGAGCACTGTAGGCGGGAGGATCATTATCGTCAGCCCGCCTATATACAGTCGCTTCTTCCGCGGCAAGACAGCTTATGCGATGGGTAAAGTTGGGATGAGTGTATTGACCAAGGGGCTAGCGATGGATTTCGAGCGGCAAGGCAGAGTCGAGGGCTCCATGGCTGTGACTAGTATCTGGCCAGCAGCAGTAAGTATTTACTTGGATTTGTTGTTGTCAAACGCCCGAGTCACAGCGAATGCGTGATACTGATTTCCAATGGTGAGGCTATCCAATCCGCGGCCACGGAACACATTACCCGCACCAACACCTCGGAGCTCAATGACCTTCGAAGGCCCACTATCTTTTCGGATGCGATTCTCGCTATCCTTCGCGCACCAGCGTCCGTCGTCAACGGACAGTTGCTGTTGGATGAGGACTTTCTTCGCCACCACTGTGGCGTCACCGACTTCTCCAAGTACGCCCTTGTGCCAGGTGCCTCACCGCGGCGGATCATGCCGGTAGAGCTACCGGACTTGAGAGTGCTGGAGCAGGACGATGAGGGGAGGCGATATGACAGTGCAAAGGCAAAGGGGGCCAAGTTATGAGGGCCTGAGTCTGGTATGTAAGTATGTTGCAAGGACGGAATCGGGAGGATGATCACTGGCACAGACGGGTGGAATATTGATGAGGATCTATATTGGATTCGTGTAATGTATACCAGTGAAGGTATTGTGCTCCATAAAGAAGGCACCAGCCGAACACGATCCCTTGTTCTCCGCGAAAGAGATATACACGCGCGCTCAAAGTAGCTCCGATCAAATTCGCTTACCACAAAACGCCTTCCCAATGCTACCCAGTCCATTTCGGTTGTTTCCAATATAAAGTGACTTTTCCCAATGTTGCAAGTCTATCACAAACGCCCCGCGCCTCAAGTTGATCCTCTTCACAACGTCTCCGTGCTATGGTTCGCCTGATTACTCCTGCCGCCCTCCTCTTCCTCAGACCCGTCCGTCTGCTTGGAGCGCTTCCTGTTCACTCCGAAAAGATCGTTCACAGTGTTTGTCAGACTTTTGGCCCGAATTCGAAAACCTTTCTTCTTCGGCCCTTCCACTGGTGACTCCTCGTATGTCCGGCTCCGCTCAATAGCACTCATAATGCCTGCCTCTTCGTCCTCCTCAAGCTCATCTTGCGGTACGTATAGGCTAGACCGAAGACTAGGCCTACTAAGCCGCCTTCTCGACGAAGGACGTGGTGAGTCTTTGAGAAGCGTGGATGGCACGAGACCTCTGACGGTCGAATCGAACGGGGAAGGGGAGAAGAGGTGGCTGCTGAAGCGCTGCGATGAGCGTGGCCTGGAGCTAGATTGTCGCGGTGTCACGTTGTTGTCATCCGGTATGACAAGTGCTGGAGGCTCTTGTGAAGGTGTACCCGGATTGGTCGCAGGTTCTGAGTATACTGGCGTCACGCTGGATAGTGTAACAGCGGATTCCGACGATATCGCATGTGATATGCCTGGATGCATAGGCGCAGGAGAGTCTCTTGATGACGGTCGCAGTAGTGGCGCAGACTCGATGGCGTCTGAGGCGCTAAAGAAGGATGTCCTCGATGTTGCACCTAGTTGAGATCTGGGCGTTGGAACGCCTGTCTCGGCAAGGACAGCAAGCGGCTTGTTGATGGCGTCCATGAAGCTAACCTTAGATGAGCGTCGACTGTTCTCCTCGTTGTCGCGGTACCTGGTGCGTGTAGGTGACTGGGGCGCATTGGGATCCTGCTCTGCAAGCCGCAAGGTCTCCTCCACACCTTCATCATCTGAGAGTGTTTCTTCGTCATCGCCTTCCGATGGCGGCCTGCCACTGGTGATGAGGAATACACCAAAAAATGTAAGAAAACAGCCACCGATAAATTTGACGGCTCGATCTGCTGTTGTGCGCTCAAAGTCCCGATATAAGACTGCGCTTCCAATAATAACGCATAACGTGAAAACCACGAATTGGATTGGTATTACCTGCGTCGAGTCGAATCTTTGAAGCGCCTTGTTGACGTAACGGACCTGCATGATGGCGGTGCCGAGTAGAATAAAGATTAGTACATAAGTCACTGGAGTCGTGAACGCCTTGAGGAATGTTGACGACAACATCGACGAGATGCCCTTGGTGGATAGAGCAGTATAGCCGCCTGGAAATCCAAGTTAGTACCCAAGTAAGCCTCGAGAGCATGTACCGACTTTGACTTACCAAACAGGCCCACGAGACCAAGATCAACTAAAATGGTGCGGTTCCCATACTTTGGGCTCAACCACATGAGAAGTATGATCAGCCCGCACGTCACGCCCATATAGATCTCAAAACCTGTACTTGTGATATGCTCCCACACAGCATGCGGATCCAGCTTCGTCTCTTGGGTATCCGCGCTCAATACTACAGTCACAGCGCCGGCCACAGCAACGACAACGCCCCA